ATTAAAAGTGACTTTCAGGCTTAGTAAAACATGCCAAATGAATCTATTTGAACTGACCCTGCCCTGTAGTTTGCATCTTCAGTTTAAAAAAGACATATTGCATATTCATTAAGCCAAATGCGCAAATGAACAAGTCATGCTGTTTCGCTCATTTGAATGACAATCCTCTGCAGACTCCATTAGTAAATCAGTTTGCACATGTATTCTCAATTACAAACCCGCACTGCTGGTGAACATTGCTATCTAAAGTGTTTTTGCACAAACATGCCCAGAGATGTCCACTGAGCTCTGAACAATGGGAGAAATATCGGGAAGATTTATTTGTTTGCTCACAACTAAACGTCAAGGAGTTTTTCAAACTTGAATAAAATATGAATAAAATCAGGAATATAATGCAGCCAGGAAAAACACCTTCTGACTATTGAGTTAAAATCCTTCGCCTGTATAAATAAATATAACATGCAGGCATGGCACACCCTCTTCCTGACCTCCATAACCCGCTTCACACTGACTGTAACCCAGCGGTGCTCTGACACTTTCCACTGAAAACAGATGATTTCATCTCTTTCATGTTTCTTTCAAGACTGCTAAGGTGGCTCTGTTTGCTTTGGGCTTGAATAAGAGACTACAGTGCAAACACTTGGACAGTCAAGGCTGCCTATGGCAACATGCACGCAGGCCAGATGTGACTAACAAACACCGTGTTAGCTCACTGTGTTAAGAGGAAGCTGAACAGTGACGGGGGCTTCTCTTACCGAAAGTCAGTGAGTGTCTGTGTGTGATTTTGAACAATGAGGAAAAGTCAAAGACCTGTGTATAAAGGCGAACAAAAACGTTTGCTGCACTGCACTACCCAGCAGGAGGATAAAATCAGTGTGTATATATGTGTCTGTGTGTTTAAATAAGAGAAATTTTGAGACACAAGTGTCCTCCACGTCAGTAAAACCAACTGACGATAATCCTCCTGTGAAATTATGCCTCATTATTACAACAATAGATTAGGTTACACCACAAGGCATGACACTTACTGAAGCCTCTAAACAAGTGGTGACGGGAAAACAGCAGCCAAGCAAGAGCTTCCTGATGCATGTTAAATAAAGTTAGTCCAACAGGTGTGGTTAAAACCGTGATCTGAAAACAATGCCTTTAAAATGCATGAGAAAGAAAGAAAGAAAGAAAGAAAGAAAGAAAGGAAGACAGAAAGAAAAAATAGTGAAAGAAAGGAAAATAGAAAGAAAGAGAAATGGAAACAAATGCAAAAAGAAAAAAAAGAAAAGAAAATCTTTTTCATATCTGTGTAGGTCAAGTAGTGAAACCACAGGTGTCCGTGTTCTAGGTCTCTTCACAGCACCTTACATCACTCTCTTCCAGTAAGGCACGTGCTCTTGCTGTTTAGCCTCAGGCCTAAAATAGATCTATTTGCCCACCATTTACTGACAGACCTTGGTTTTCTTTCTTTCTGAAGAATCTGAAGATTCACAGGTCCTGATGACACTTTTGACCCAAAAGTGCACATGAACCGATAAACAGACGTTATTTTGAACCTCCTACTCCCCACAACAGAATGACATTTATTCAATATGCCACCTATTCCATTTTTGTGCATTGCATTCGTGCTCAGATAAGGACAAATCACTGACAGGATTGTGATTAGGACTTTTTCATGGCCCGCGCTACTTCTGGAAGTTTGATGTGCGACAATTTATTACTTACACTTGAGTGCACACTTCGAATCATACAACAGCTTATGCAAAAGGCTCCCATGCAAATAACCTGAAGTTTACACTCAAATCATCAAGCTGTCATCTAGCCAGAGGAGAATCCAAGAAGCGCCTCCTTCCACCTCTTACTGGAAGCCGGCACAGATTGCAGTTTGTCATGCTGATTACCAACATGCAGTGACCTGAGAATCAATAGCGTTGAATGTGATTGACAACCGTTCTTCATCTTATAAAATAACTCTGCTTTTAGTTAGTTCATTCAAACGGGAAGTATAATTATCAGAAAAAGTGAGGCATTAACTCAAGGACGTGTTGACGAGGAAGTTTGTTCATTTATCACATCAAGGAAATAAATTCCTGGAGAGAAACCAGATTAAATTGTGCATTGGCAATGACTTCCCAGAATGACATGTGACTAACGCAGTCATCATTCATCACTACGAGAAAAATGTAATCACATGATCAAATAACACCGGCAGTTGCATTTGTTATCCATGCAATTGTTTTAAAAAAAAAAAAAACCCTCTGCAAAAAAAAAAAGTGAAGCGGATATCTACCTTGGGAAGTGGACGTCCCAGGTCTGCATAAAACTTAGTCCAAAACTGCATGAGCGACATGAGTCCAGTACCTCTCCGGGAACTCACTGCTGTTCACGGTGAGAAAGCAACACGTCCATCCATGTGCTGGAGAAAAACCCAGCACTGTCAGCACAGCTGTAGCATTCCCAAAGAATGAGGACGCCAAGGAAAGAGCGAATGACACAGAGACATAGATGGGGGCCGACGCAGCAGTCCCAAAGCTCCGCACCAACAGCTCCTCTCTCTCTCTCACTCGTACACACAGACATGCGCACATTCACACACACACACACACACACACACACACGCGCACGCACACAACAGGTAGGAGCTAGGCTCACACTGGAGAGCTCTTTGGCCTTCCTACTGAGCGTGCTCCTCTTTTGCTAAAAGAGGAGTGACAGGTATTTGCTCAGAATGTTCAGTCATATTGATTGTGGTTTAGTTCCTCAGTGCTGAAGGTGGCAGGGAGGGGAGGGGAGAGGAGAGGAGAGGGGGAGGAGGGGAGGAGCTTTCAGGAAATGATGCTTTTGTTGGTAAGTGACTAGAGTTCCTGGCAGTCAGGCCCTCTTTACTGTACATGGTGTAACACAACCGCATTTCTAGTGTAAACAGCGCAGCGCGCAGGATCTCCAGAGCACTGTGGCGGCTGTGTGGCCTCTGTTTAATGCTCACAGATCATCATTTAATGATTATTCTCTTTAGGCTAGCGGCTCTCTGATGGGCACATTATTTCAGCATCTGTCTTTTTGTGTTGAGCCACACGAGAAATACCATGGTTTCATTCATCACTTATGAATGGGAAACGATCGAGATAATTAGTTTTACACAGCCCGGGCGGCAGGCAGAGAAATGAGTTAACGGCTGCGTGGAGGACTGTAAAGCCAGAAAGCAAACGTTTTCTGAACAAACTATTATTGCAGGAATGGAACAATCCTCTCAAAAAGCAGCCTACACCTTACCTATTTCTGAAAACAGATTCAGCAACAACTACAGCAGCAACACAATTATAGCCAGGGACACTATTTAATCAAGGAATGAATTAAGCATGCAAACCCCACACAAGGATTTTAATCTATATAATACAGTATGATGTTTTAAGGCTGCAAACATTTCTGCTGTACAATCTATTTACCATCTCATGTCGGTCATGACACTGTGATGTGATTTCAGGCTACACTTTGCCGACGTTTTAAAATAAATACTTCATGCACTATTAATACTAATACGTACTAATATTAGGATTATTGAAATCTATATATGAAAGTATATAAGAAATGTATATGAAACATTTTTGCAAATGCAAATATGAACTTTTTTTCTTTTAAAGAACCAAAAGAATCTGATACAAAGAAAAGATGCTGCATGATGCCTTGAGATCCTAATCAGTTTGGAGGCCTCCGGTTGTGGCCCGCTGATCAATGCCTCCTGGAAGAGACGGCTCATGGCAATAAGAAGCCCCAGGACTGTTATGACTGTTAGCTTGAGAGACAGAGCGGCGTCGTGAGTGGGGTCATAGTTGGGAATCCGCATGAACAAGTAGTCATCCGGTACTAATAGGATATCAGAAAGGATGATTCAACCTCTGCAGCCCTGCGTTACATTCAATTAATTTCCCTTCATGTTGCGGGTGAACAGGAAAAGACAGTCATGCCATTTGTTTCACACAGCATATTTTTAATAAGATTTTTCTGTTTTAAAAGTCACATGGACAAGTTGAGATCACTGATCCTGGATCAGCTTAGCCCTAACTGACAATTAGCCTCAAAAAAGCTTGAAAGTATATATATAAAAAAAAGTATTCATGGCTTACTATTCGGTTAGAAAGTGTTCCACAGAAGTTTAGCCTACGCATTGCCTAATTGACAGTAAGCTTCATGTCAAATTCTCTTTCTGCATAATCTCATTCTGTATTTGACCAAACTCAAAACTTGCCCACATACTAAAGCTACCATGGAAGAAGTCACATGATGATGCATGGGCATGTTTTTAAAAGTTCTTTGTAAGCTTATTGTGCATGTGTGTATGTGTGTGTAGTATGCACATGTATTGAGGCCCCTCTTTTCTCTGTGGTTGCGTTGTGGTTTCATGTTCTCATTGCTCTCTAGTTCAGGTAGGTTGTACTTCGTTCCTGCGCAGTCATTAGCGCTACATTCTCCACCATGCAGCCTGAATAATCAGGAGGAAACAAGCCCCTTACAACAGTGAAGCTGAGTTTTACTTCAGGGTTTAGAAACAGATTTACACAGGGAGGAGCCCGATACTGATAGGAACTTGGGCTGATCTACAAAGATCACTACCAATACATTTATGGATCTGAGTGGAAGACGGAGAACAGACTGACTGGAGGTTTTACATTTTCTTTTCTTTTTTTTTCCCACCTGTAATTGTGTGGAAACTACAGAACATTTCACCTTATACACTGCACACTTACGCTCTCACCTTTCATGAAAATGAGCAAGAATTAATATGTAGAAGGAATAACACACACAATAAGTAATGTTTTGAGCTTAAACATAGAGCATGAACATATAATCACTTTTTCCCCAAAATACAGAAAGGTTTATATATATATATATATATATATATATATATATATATATATAGTACAGTTCTTGTTTGCAAATCACTGGCTCAAAGTGATCATTTTGTGATACATGGAGACTCTGGAGAAAATTACAGCAGAGTCTCAACACAAAGGGAAGGGGTAGCTCAGTGGTTAAGGTGTTGGCCTTCTGATCAGAAGGCTGAGAGTTCAAATCCCACCACCACTAAGCTGCCACTGCTCAGTTGTATAACTGAGATAACTGTAAGTTGGGCCTGGGTAAGGGCGTCTGCCAAATGCCATAAATGTAAAGGAGGCACTTACAGAGGGATCTTGGACCACATTTCCATGCAGCACATTTTAGCATCCTTTACATTTTTAGGTTTGTGCTTGAAGAGATGATCTTTACAAAACACTGATTTTGTGTTTCTTTAACCATTTCTGTGTTGATTTGGGATTTTTTCTGTATGTTTGGGTCATCATCTTGTTGAAAGCTGTACCTATGCCAAAGTTTGTATGTAGTCGCCAAACATGCTTATAGTATGCATGACCAAAAAGTTTCATTTTGATCTCATCTGATCCCAACACATAATGCTAACTGTAGCTCTAACAATACCTGGTGAGGTTTAGGTGCAGGATTTATTGACTTGCTCTCAGGAAGAGCTTCTTTCATGCAAAACTTCCAAACAGCTTGTTATGAATGAAGGGCGTCTGCCAAATGCCATAAATGTAAATGTAAATGTAAATGTAAATGAATGTGGTGTTTAACAGCTGATTTTGAAATTTGACAACCACAAGAATAAACTACGCTGCATTTCTCTGGGGCGTTTCCACACTTGGCCTAAATACTCGAGTCCACACTCAGGACCTATTCTGGGCTCACCTTGGGGCAGGGCTCATATTCACAGGTTTGCTTTCACATTGAAGAATTCCTTCTGAAACACAGCTAGATTGCGCAATTCCATACATCATGGCTGTGCACGCAATGTAAAAATGTTAGGCACTACGTTCACCCACTTGCTGTTTTTTTCCTGTGGTACCAACACTCAAGCGGTGATGAATGGTGCTTTTTGGATGCATAGCAGGCCATCATGCAGGAATACCTGCAAATATAGCGCTGGACTCGATACAAGAGAAGACCTGTAGCAATGCAGGCCATACATTTTTTTTGCGATGCTCACAGTGCAAGCATTCGCACTATAAAGATGAGCTAACAGTGCTCTAGTTCTATGAATATCTGATTTTATACATCAATAACCATCACAACTCCTTCCCGGCATCACAAAAGTAGAAACCGCAAATAACATGACAAATCAAACCAATCATATTACTCGACATTACCTGATGTGGACCATGCTGCAGGCTCGGAAACAACGTTCACACTTCACCAACTGTACCAAACTCTGGGCTCAAACATCCATGAGAATTTTTTTTTAAAAAGTGTGAAAACAACCTAAAACTGTGATCTTTGGATTTTTTTTGTCCCTCCTTCACCATCATCCTGACTGTGTGGAAAACAAAGTCCTCATGGATCCATTTGTGCAGCTGTTTCAGATTTGAAACTTGATTGGTGCAGCAACAATCTGTCTGTTTTGTGTTTTTCTTCCTCCATGGTAATGGATGACAAAGCGGTTTTACATGTGTGCAACCTCGTATTAGATCCAAAGGGAAACAGGACATGGTTAACAGGGTTCCTTGGGACTGAGAGCAAATCAACAAATGCTGTAGGATTTTCAAAAATGACAATGTTTGCTTTGATTTTTAAAAATTCCATGGGGTGTCAATAATTTTGGAACATATATCTGAGAAAAAAAAAGATTTTTTTTTTTAGCACAAAGAGAAAGGTTTTCTCCTCCTGTAATTGTATGTGATGTTTATTTTATACTGTTATTTTTGCTCATTGCTGTGAAGGGTGCCATCAGTTCTGGAGGTACCCATGATAAAGCCACCAGACAGCTAGGCATTCACTTAGAGCAATAAGAAATTTTACAGAAATCTCATGCTCAGCATTACAGAATGTTTTGCACACCCACACACACACACACACACACACACACACCCGCACACACACACCCTCACACACACGTACACAAGCATTTCAGACATGTTTGGCAACACACAAGGAAAGGCGGACAGAATAGAATGATCGAAGGTGTGGCTGCATTTTAAGCAAATGGATGACGAGACCACAGTAAAACCTCTGATTGCCAGGAAGGAAATGTAAGCAACTGAGCAAAAATACACCTGTTATTTACTCGCAAGATAAATCTCTACAAATGCACTCTGAATGCTCGCAGTCCTTCTCTCACAGCCACTGTAGCCACAGAGTGTTGTAACATGGCTGTTCTTAGAGCAGGTTATGCTAACAAAATCACTACAAATAGACTAAAACATGAAAGTTTTTCCCCCCCTTTAAGCTAATAACATCACCACAAACATGCCAACACATGAAAGCTAATTTCACTAGGTTAGTAAGAATGTTATAATTAGGCTAAAACAGAAAAGCTAATTTTTCTAGGTTAATGAAAGTATTAGGAATAGACTAAAACATGAGATCTTATTTTGCTAGGCTAGTAAAACGATTATAAATTATGACTAAAACTAAAAACTTGAAAACATGAAAGCTAATTTTGCTAGGTTAATACAATTAGTACAAATACATTAATGCTAAAATGTTACTGCTTTGCTAACTAGTTTGCTATACACATTTCAAAAAAAGTGCTAATTATTTAAAAAAAAAAAAAAAAAAGGATGATTAACAATACTGGTAACATTAATAGCAATGATAACTATAGAGAACAAATACATAAAAGATACCCAAAAAAAAAAAAAAAAGGTTCTGAGTCTAAACCCAGCAGATTAAATTAAATTAATGTATCAGAAGTAGTTGCAGGAACAGAACGGTGCTCTTACATCCTCTACACGGCACAATATGAGGAAGTTCTGCTCTTTACATTGTCACAAACTGTTAACCAACCAATCCCTTATGTTTTTTAAGAAGTCTCTTCCACTGTATTCATGTAAATATGTGTATGTGTGTGTGTGTGTGTAGATGGAAGATAACAGTGGAGTGTGATCTTTCCTGCTGGCCAACATGGTCAGGATTAGTCACAGGACAATTACAGTCTCATTTAGTCACAGTTATATCATGAAGCGTCTTTTTCCACCAGCTGAGAAAGGTGAAGCATGGGCTGACGTGGTCTTTGCCACCACACTAAAGCTGCAGTGAAACACTACAATTTTAGGTCAGACATTTATAGGTCACACACATTCATATTACACAAGTAGATCTGAGGATGTGAATAACTTTTTCTTCCTTTATTGCTCACTCGTCCTAGTCTTACTGGAGGTTTACACCACGGCCAGGTCACTACACTCTTATCTCTTACACTCTTTCCTCGCTGCGGCTTTCACGATAGGCATTTCTCTCTCTACCACCAACGTCCATTTTACATGTAATCCTACAAGAAGTGACTGCAAAGCAGGTGGAATGCGGCCTTTTTTGCAGTTCACATTCTCAGAAAAGGGTTTTGTGGTGTCAAGCACTTCGGGGGCAAGCAAGAAAAACAAACATTCTGTATATTCTTAGTGAGAGAATATGACTTGCTGACTTTCATTGTTGCAATGTAACAAAAGATAGCAACAATTTTTCGAACATTTAACTGTACCCAATGTGACATCCCAGCTTAAACGTAGCAGCAAGGTGATTTTCTGCCTCTGGAGCTACGGCAAAAGCTAAAATGCTCATCTTTATTTCCATCTTTATAACAAATATAATAAATCTAACCCAGGACCCTACCACTGCATACTAAGGTTGTAAAGCAATGACACTATCCGTGTCTGTTTAGTGCTCCAAATATCCGTATCTGTATCATAAAGCCTAAGTGGGTGTGGCTTAAACCAGAATTTCCAGTGCTAAACACTGGAAAAAACCCAGATGTAGAAATGCCAGTAGTGTCAGCATGGTCTGTGAATTCTGGCTCTGACAGGTCCTTAAGCTCAGCTACGTCACTCCAGAGATGTGTGTGGGACTTTTACCCCGCTTGCCCAAAATAAAAACAAACTGGCAGTTTAATTTTAACCACTGCAACCATGAACAGGCGGTAAGGATACACGGCACACTCCGAGTTCACACACCGTCTTTGTCCTGCGAGCTTCATATATTACTGCTTGCTCGCACCCGCATGAAAATAAAACCCTCTCTAGCTTGCACGACTTTTTTTTGCTGTGTCCCGTGGGATCCCAATCCTGATGCACACCTTTAGTCTCAACCAGATGCCCTGGGAACATTTTTGGCAAGTTTTTCTAAATGAAAATAAATAAATAAATAAATAAATAAATAAATAAATGACATGCCTCCTATTCATATCTGTATTTATATTTATTTAAAACACATTATCTGTTCATTCAGAATTGGTTACATCCCTACCACATACACATTCACAATAACTCGATTGTCGATTCTGATTGGTCAGAAGGTGTGCATGATTTGTGTATAAAAGTACGGATTGGACAGTAGTTCCAGCTGTAACATGATCGATAGGTTAATATTAATGCGCTCACTCTATACATTATCGTTTCTATAGTAACAACTCATATACAGGAACTTGTACAGCGCATGATCAACATAATCTAAGCTAATAATAAATGGATTTTAAAAAAACCAAAAAAACGTGTTTTTTAACAAAGTAAAATGTATAATCGTTGATGTGGTAACGTTTTTTTTGTTAGGAGGTATTAACATTTATAGAAGGAGTCTCGTTTGTAGGCAACTTTGTAACAGGAAAGTATTCAGGACAGAGGAGTTTACATTTTCCAGTTTCTTGGAAAATTGACTGTGTTTTGAGAAAGTGAGAGACGGAGTGAGAGAGAGAGAGAGAGAGAGAGGCTGGTGAGAGAATGACTGTTTATCACAGCTATAACGTAGGTGAGAACATGAACTATCTTGTCTCTTGGATGTTCCACAACATTAAATCTAAATATAAACAAGGGCTGCGCAATATACTGTTTCGAAATGATCGAAATATAGCAAATGTAAATATTGTGATATGCATATAGCAAGGGCTTGCGATAACTGAATGATTTGAATACTTCACAAAGTTACGAAAGTCAAAATTTCAGGGCGACACAGATAGCAGAGAATGTTTTCTTTCCCTCAAAAGAACATAAAACATATATGTTGGTTATGTCATTTTCAGTATATATATTTATATATATACTTACAGCATT